CACTGTAAAAGTGTTTGGTTTAGGTTAATACATACATAGAGTACATGAGTCACAGACAAGGATCTGAGAGGCGCCAGTTGTCTGCCTGAGATCTCACACCTCAAAGCGTTAATGACCCCAAGTGACCTGAGGTCAGATCATGAGAATTTCACCTTGCTTCCGCTAAGCGTATAATTGGAGCCGGGTAGCCTTCAAACATGCCGACGTTTAAGGAGTGGCTTGTTAGTGCCGGAGGCTATCTATTTGTGGGCGGAGTTAGCTACTAGGTTCCCCAATATAAACTCGGAGAGCTATCGAGCATAGAGCATTAAGAGACAGAACAGCAGACGACAGCAGAGACGACGTCCCTAGCAGGGAGGCTGTCGGCCGGCAGGGGCGAGACAGTCTCTGTCAAGCTACAGACCCCCCCCCCCTCTCTATTCAACTTAGACTCCGTCCTCGGTGAGTGAACATTAAGGTGACTTGGTCGTGTTTACATATGTTGTGTGATGATCAGGGGCAGTCAAGTTGTAGGGTTCTCGAATTCTTGGATGATGACTCACTTTGCATATTAAACTGGAACATTTTAATTGAATTGTTAAATTATGATACTTCATGGGAAATATAATTATGAATTTATTATTTAAATTGTGTTTAACTTTGTTCCCTAGAGCTTTGAGTTGAGGTGAGAAAGCCTCTGTGGTTACTGGTTTCATGGTGTAGAATGAGTACATGATAAAGATGGGAACTACTAATAATGATCTCTTGATAACATCATTTGAGAATTTTGTGATACAGACAAGTTCCATTCCTTGTCTTGTATGTAATGATCATGAATGGATGGTGGCAGCATTTCGTCTTCTACTATCTACTTTCTACTCCTACTATCTACTCTTCTACTTCTACCTATCTACACCTCTCCCTCCACCCCTCTCTCAACTCTCACTTTCAACTAATGACCATCCTCGCTCCTCCCACCTCTCTCCCTCTCACCCCAAACCCTCACTAATTACTTCACTATTCATTTCTTTCCTTTCGTTTTCTCTTATACGTTTGTGGCAATGATTTCGGTATTCTAGAGTTCTCTCTAGAGTTTCGGGTAACTGATCAAGTGACGACGCCTTGTAGTCTTAGCACCTAGGTAGTCAAATACCTAGGTTACAAGGTGTTGAACGAGAGAGGTTGCCTTAGGAACTCTGGGAGTGCTCTAGAATAGTTAGCTAACTGAGGACGGGATAACGGACTAGAGAGAGCTGTTTCCCCCGGCCTCGTTAGTTAACTGGGGGGGGTGGAATAATGGACAAGATAGAGCTATTTCCCCCACCCCCCCGTTACAATGGTGGCAGCGGTGTCAGTAGACTTCACGTTGGGGACGCTCGACGTTAGATAGTCTGGTCACAGGGGTGGCAACAGTTTGGAGTTGTTTACCGGCGGAGAAGCTAGGGAAACACTCTGGGTCACGTAGGTGGCTGTAGGTTAAGGGTGGGAGTAACGGTTAATTATGTACTTAAGATTAGGAAAGGTACAGTTAAGTTTAGGCTAGTGTTTTGTCTATTAGTTTTGATTTTTTTTTGTGACAAGTTAAAAGTAGTGATGACCTTATTCTCTCTTCTCTAACTTCCTCTGTTACTGTCTTATGTTCCACCAAGTCAATATCATTCAGTGTTAATTGGATTATTTTAAAAATTTAAGTGTAGTTGTTGCCAGGAGGAGAGCGGTATGACTGGACTGTGTAACCCTATACAAACTACAGGGTCACATAACATATCTTGAGAGCACGATATTGTCGCCTTTCTGTTCACCCACAGGTGGGAGCCAGAGAGTGGAGAGACGCACATACAAAAGAGGGAGACGGCTGCTGTGTACCACACTCACGGGCGTTAATCACCACCACCACGACCAGCCCACTACCTGGAGGTCACGGCTCCACCACCATCACCACCCCAGGGGACCCCAAGATGCAGCCCTCTCGGTCAGTCAACATTGGTCTACCCATTGGACCCCAAGACGGACGGACCCCAGCGGACCCCCAGTGGACCCCAGGTCGTTCTGCAGACGACCCCAGACGACCCAGTAAAAATGGAAGAGGAGCAACAACGACTCCAGTCTGTCCCACCAACATCGGTCTACCCAGGATGGACCCCAGGACGGACGGACCCCAATGGACCCCAGGTCGCTTGTCAAAGACCCATGGGAGGAGGAAGAGAGAAGAAAGAAGGGAGAAGAAGGAAGAGAAAAGAAAGAAGAAAGAAGAAGAAGAAGATAAGACAAGCTGAGTGAGACACGATGCCTCGTGTCCCTTGCTGGTATCAGCATCATTGCATGGAGCGTAATTGCAAGACAGGATCGTTTGCCTTAACTGGCCGCCCCTCCTACAAGCATGTTGCTCTGTTGAGTGATTCTTCCTGTGTCATGCGGACTTGATGTGGCTGTCAGAAGTAGCTCTCTGAAGGAGGCGTGCTGGAGCAACAGGGAGGAAGAAGAGTAGGATGGGATTTCTACTGTTGGCAACTATATGAAGGTTGGACAAGGTTGGAAGGTTGGAAGGTTGGACTATAATGGACAAGATAGAGCTATTTCCCCCACCCCCGTTACACCAGGAAGTCTTGGCTCAGTAGCTCAGATGGTGAGCCAGGAAGTCTTGGCTCAGTAGCTCAGATGGTGAGCCAGGAAGTCTTGGCTCAGTATTTTTTTTTTGGGGGGGGGGGATTAAAGAGGAAGGAGAGACATAGATGAAGGGAAGTATAGAAGTGGGAAATACAGTGAGAGGTATGAAAGCAGGCGGGCTGTCCGCCTTGCTGACACGATGTGTGGTGTTGGCAGCTAAGCTAAGCTGGCTCCCTCTTGTCAGGGAGCTGTGAGTGTGTGAGAGGTTCTTCACATGTGTTTCACCATATATGGATGTCCATAGATGAATTCTGTGTAGCATTCATATATACACACACCGATGCTTCCACACACGTTATTCTGTTTAATGCTCTTTATTTTATTATTATTATTTATCGAGTTGTTCATATATACACATATACCTACATATACTCACACATACACATACATACATATTTACACATATATACATATATATATATATATATACACACATATATATATATATATATATATATATATATATATAATATATATATATATATATATATATGCATACATATATGCATATACATACACATAAACACACGTACATACATATACTGTATACCCATATACATATGCATATACATAACTATACACATACACACACCCACACACACATACATACTCAATTTCTCAATTATGGGGGGAGGATTTCTGGTCAGTATTTCATCTGGGAATTATATACTGTGGGGCGGGGTTTTTATCTAAAGAATGGAGGCTCTTGGGCCACCAGCTGTGGGAGCGGGGCGTCTCATCTTGGAGTAATCTTTCTAACATTGGGTCCTCTAACATTTGGATGGTGTTCCACACCCTGGAGGCTTGGTGCTGCAGTCTGATGTGTAGTGGCTGTATGTTCAGGAGTTCGTGGAGCTCCTGGATTGTCTAATCGTATGGTGCACTCCCTTACCCATCCATAGGGGTGAGGGGGTAGTCTGGGTGGGTGATGGGACCATGGGGGTGATGGGGGGTGAGGGGGGGGTAGTGGCCAACACCTGTATGCTCAAGCACTGACCTAGACGATACGCACTGTTGACCAGGCGTGGCTCACCCCACAATTTTTACTCCCTTGCATTTATCTGTATTTAAGTCTAGTAGCCATCTCTCCAACACTTGACCAGGTTGCCATATGTATATTTTAAGAATCCTCGTTAGTTTGTACCATTCACAAACATTGATGTAAATGCGTCATCGTCCTCATTTAGAGTCCAACAGCCTGGTTGACCAGTTCACCAACGAGGAGGCCTGGTCGAGGACCGGGCCGCGGGGATGCTAAGACCCGAAACCATCTCAAGGTAACCTCAAGGTAGATAATACCCAAATACCAGGTATAGAACCGGTCTTATGGTATATTGACCCTTACTGATACTTCAATTGTGGCCTTCAAGGGAGCCTGGGTTCGATCCCGGGCGCCGGTGAAAAACAATGGGCAAAGTTTCTTTCACCCTATGCCCCTGTTACCTAGCAGTATAATAGGTACCTGGGTGTTAGTCAGCTGTCACGGGCTGCTTCCTGGGGGTGGAGACCTGGTCGAGGACCGGGCCGCGGGGACACTAAAGCCCCGAAATCATCTCAAGATAGCCTCAAGAATTCCACTCTTGTTATCACTGAGACCCTCTGTTTCTTGTCAGAGAGGTACTCGCTCAAACAATTTAAATTTCCCTTCCAAATACCTTTACTTTATTTTCAAATTGGTGTAAGTCTCTTGTATGTGTAACTGTATCAAATGCCTTCGGACAGTCCAGGAAGACAGCCCACCCGTCTCTTTCATGCTTTATCACTGTTGCCTCGAAGCTTCAGTAGACTTGTTCAGGAGGAACTGCTCTCTCTGAAGCCATGTTGGTGCTCCACGACGCGGGCTTCATCCTTTACATTATTCACATCTTTATTTTTGAATCTCAACTCCAGTATTTGAAGGGTATATTGACCTCTAGCTCACAGGGTTGTGTGTCTGTCATAATTCTTGAATATTGGTACATCACTGGCAGAGTCTCTCTCTCTCTCTCTCCCCCCCCCCTCCCTCTCTCTCTCTCTCTCTCCCTCCCTCTCTCTCTCTCTCTCTCTCTATCTCTCTCTCTCTCTCTCTCTCTATCCTCTCTCTCTCTCTCTCTCTCTCCTCTCTCTCTCTCTCTCTCTCTCTCTCTCTCTCCCTCTCTCTCTCTCTCTCTCTCTCTCTCTCTCTCTCTCTCTCTCTCTCTCTCTCTCTCTCTCTCCTTCCGTCCGTGAGACCGGCTTGTCACTCCTCGCTTCACGAACGAACACTTCACGCTCTGAAGTCACAGCTGATGTCCTCTGACGCAACGCTAAACGGAGCGGGAGTTACGACCAGTGACGCGGGTTTAACGGCTAATACGAGGCTAAAATGGATAAAGAAACAAAATCACTGAAGAGGTTTTACTTGCAAATGCCGAAGCTGTTTATACAACCACCGATACTGAAGCTGTTTATACAACCACCGATACTGAAGCTGTTTATACAACTACTGATACTGAAGCTGTTTATACAACCACCGATACTGAAGCTGTTTATACAACCACCGATACTGAAGCTGTTTATACAACCACCGATACTGAAGCTGTTTATACAACCACAGATACTGAAGCTGTTTATACAACCACAGATACTGAAGCTGTTTATACAACCACAGATACTGAAGCTGTTTATACAACCACAGATACTGAAGCTGTTTATACAACCACAGATACTGAAGCTGTTTATACAACCACCGATACTGAAGCTGTTTATACAACCACCGATACTGAAGCTGTTTATACAACCACAGATACTGAAGCTGTTTATACAACCACCGATACTGAAGCTGTTTATACAACCACCGATACTGAAGCTGTTTATACAACCACTGATACTGAAGCTGTTTATATAACTACTGATACTGAAGCTGTTTATACAACCACCGATACTGAAGCTGTTTATATAACTACTGCTACTGAAGCTGTTTATACAACCACCGATACTGAAGCTGTTTATACAACCACCGATACTGAAGCTGTTTATACAACCACAGATACTGAAGCTGTTTATACAACCACTGATACTGAAGCTGTTTATACAACTACAGATACTGAAGCTGTTTATACAACCACTGATACTGAAGCTGTTTATACAACCACTGATACTGAAGCTGTTTATACAACTACATATACTGAAGCTGTTTATACAACCACCGATACTGAAGCTGTTTATACAACCACTGATACTGAAGCTGTTTATATAACTACTGATACTGAAGCTGTTTATACAACCACCGATACTGAAGCTGTTTATATAACTACTGCTACTGAAGCTGTTTATACAACCACCGATACTGAAGCTGTTTATACAACCACCGATACTGAAGCTGTTTATACAACCACAGATACTGAAGCTGTTTATACAACCACTGATACTGAAGCTGTTTATACAACCACTGATACTGAAGCTGTTTATACAACTACAGATACTGAAGCTGTTTATACAACCACTGATACTGAAGCTGTTTATACAACCACTGATACTGAAGCTGTTTATACAACCACTGATACTGAAGCTGTTTATACAACTACATATACTGAAGCTGTTTATACAACCACAGATACTGAAGCTGTTTATACAACCACTGATGTTGAAGCGGTTTATACAGCAACAAATGTAGAAACAGCTGCCAGTATTTACCCAGGAGAAGATGAAGGAGGTGAAGCGGGAAGCTCGTTAAGAAACACATGACTGCCTTAGACAGGTGGACAGTGAAACCTGTTAGGCACTATATGGCTTGATATCATTAGTAGTGAAAACATCAGCTGTAGCAATGTGGGAGGGGATTCGAACCCCTGACCAGGGGATTCGAATCCCTGACCAGGGGGTTCGAATCCCCTGACCAGGGGTTCAATGAATAAATTGAGTTGCTTATTGATTTGTTTATATCACGTCTGTGTGGTTTCCAGGTGTGCTGTTAGTGGTGGGTGGTGGTGGTGGGTGGTGTGGTAGTGGGTGGTGGTAGTGGGTGGTTGTGGGTGGCAGTGGGTGGTGGGGGTGGGTGCTGGGGGGTGTTGTGTGTGTGGTGGTAGTGAGTGGTGGTGTGGTAGTGGGTAGTAGTGTGGTAGTGGTTGGTGGTGGTAGTGGGTGGTGGTGTGGTAGTGGGTGGTGGTGTGGTAGTGGGTGGTGGTGGTGGTAGTGGGTTGGTGGTAGTGGGTGGTGGTGTGGTAGTGGGTTGGTGGTAGTGGGTGGTGGTGTGGTAGTGGGTTGGTGGTAGTGTGGTGGTGGTGTGGTAGTGGGTGGTGGGGTGGGTGGCAGTGGGTGGTGGGCGGCAGTGGGTGGCGGCAGTGGGTGGTGGTGGGGGTGTGTGGGTCAGCCAGGCGTGGCCAAGGTCTAGCCACAATGGCTGAACACAAGACATGTGGACAAAACACACCATGGAACGTTAAGGCTCTCTGTAGCTCTAGTATTTGTATCTATATTCATCTTTAATTCTTCACCCACTTTATCCGTGTCCTTTCTTTATGCTTTATTGCCTCCTTTGTCTTATTTCGTTCTTCTCATCTCCTGCTTCTGTCTGTTTATGTATGTTTCTCTATCTGTGAGTCTGTCTGTCTGCCTATTCCTCTTTCTTTAAAACAACAAAGTAGTAAGATCAAATGCTCCATCCGGCAAGTACAACTAGGTGAGCACAACTATGAATAAAATGCAAAACAGACAGACATAAAACCACATAAACGCAACATTACATCAGCAAGAACTGTGACAAAAAAAAATATTCAGAAAAAGCAAGGGACCTCTTATTGTTCAAGTATTGAAACCTATCCTATATGAATTAAAGCTACAAGAGTCATACACAACCCAGGAGAGGCAGAGTGAGCAAAAGCCCATCAGTGAAATAGAGAGAGAAATTCGAAATATTTTTTCTCCTATGCAAAATCAGGATCAAAAACCACATCTAGTATCGGGGCCCCTGCGAAAGGGAGATGGAACTTTCACCGATGACGGGGAGCCGGTCGGCCGAGCGGACAGCACGCTGGACTTGTGATCATGTGGTCCTGGGTTCGATCCCAGGCGCCGGCGAGAAACAATGGGCAGAGTTTCTTTCACCCTATGCCCCTGTTACCTAGCAGTAAAATAGGTACCTGGGTGTTAGTCAGCTGTCACGGGCTGCTTCCTTGGGGTGGAGGCCTGGTCGAGGACCGGGCCGCGGGGACACTAAAAAGCCCCGATGTGTAATAGTCAGCAAAATTAAATCCGGACCATCAACCGTGAAGAGCTCAGTTCCTCAGGGTACTGTGCTTGCACCAGTACTTTTTCTCATCCTCATATCGGACATAGACAAGGACACAATCTATAGTACTGTATCATCCTTTGCAGACGACACTAGGATCTTCATGAGAGTATACAACATAGAGGACACGGCAAACCTTCAATCAGACGTAAATCAGGTCTTTCTATGGGCTGTAGAAAATAATATGGTGTTTAACGAAGATAAGTTCCAGCTCATGCGCTACGGAAAAAATGAAAATATAAAAATGGAAACCACGTACAAAACTCAGTCAAATCATAACATAGAACGAAAAGACAATTTAAAGGATTTGGGTGTACTCATGTCGGAAGACCTTACCTTTAAAGAACACAATAAAGTAGCCGTCACAACTGCAAGAAAAATGACAGGTTGGAAAACAAGAACCCTTCACACTAGAGATGCTATACCAATGATGATACTCTTCAAGACATTAGTGCTCTCTAGAGTGGAATACTGCTGCACAATGACAGCCCCTTTCAAAGCTGGAGAAATTGCTGACCTGGAGAGCGTGCAAAGATCCTATACTGCTAGAATGTCAAAATGAGTCCGGGACTCATGAGATGATGAGTTCGGGACTCTTTAGATGAGTCAAAGATAACTTCAAGGTATCCAAAACATACATAGAAAGGTGGTGGGAGAATTTGAAAGAATGGTGGGTGAGTGAAGGGGGAAATGGTTGGCAGAGGAGGTAGAGAGCACCAGACTTGCACCACACACACACACACACACACACACACACACACACACACACACACACACATGTCCACAGCATTAAAATCACAGCGTTCCTCATTTACATACCCGGGAGCTCGTTCACAGCTGGCGGCGACCACAGTGGAGGCGCGGCTCTGGGCCCTCAGACCCGCTCATGGGAGACCAACATTACTCCAGGATGCTGGGATGGTTACTTCAGCATGCTGGGATGGTTACTTCAGGATGCTGGGATGGTTACTCCAGGATGCTGGGATGGTTACTTCAGGATGCTGGGATGGTTACTTCAGGATGCTGGGATGGTTACTGCAGCATGCTGGGATGGTTACTTCAGGATGCTGGGATGGTTACTGCAGGATGCTGGGATGGTTACTTCAGCATGCTGGGATGGTTACTTCAGCATGCTGGGATGGTTACTTCAGGATGCTGGGATGGTTACTTCAGGATGCTGGGATGGTTACTTCAGGATGCTGGGATGGTTACTTCAGCATGCTGGGATGGTTACTCCAGCATGCTGGGATGAATACTTCAGGATGCTGTGACAGAGCAAGTGATGCTACAATGATCTTCATCTTAAAGCCCTCAAGCACCACTTCAACTAGCAAGACAATCTCTACAATCTTCTACAAAATACACCAGTAAACATACAGCTACAATCAAATTAATCACATACTCTAAGACCTAAGTATAATCATACACAGACCACATCAATACAACCCAGTGCATACGTTACTTTCCCAGGCCCATCAAGTTGTGTATACACAGCTTGATTCATTATACACTTGACACACACAAAAAAAGATACTGAATGCCAACCACTGGCTCCAGCAACATAAACAGCTTCATTATATAAAAAAATACTGGATTAAAGAGATGTGTAAACAAGAAAATAGTTACATTTTACCGAGGATACAAGGGTTAAATTAGCGAGTTTGGCACTGTGGTTTCGAGAGACAATGTGCCACATCTCCACCAACCATAACAGCAGTACGGCAACGTTGTGAGGTAATGTTTATATTTCTAGTGAACTTATTAACACTACGTTATGGGAATAATTATCTTCTAAGAACCAATTTACGCTCAGTACTAACTGCTTAACTACGCTCATATCGTTAGTTAACTCCACTCTTTGTATGGGAGTGTTACGGCCCTCTCGGGACGCAACGGGGTTCTCACTCTGATGTTGTTAGAGGAAGATATAAGTATCCGGCCCCAAGCCAGTAGAGGCTATCAAGGGATGCGATCCGTGACGCAAGTAACTTAAAGGGAGTAGGGAAAGAAAGGTAAGAACTTAATATAATATAATATAACCATCACCATTTAAATATATAAAAGTAAAACGTACACAAGGGGGAGGGGTATTAACACTTTACAAGGGGATCAACACTGTAGTCTTCTGCTGGAGACTATGGATCCTCGAAGCTAGGTGCTGAGTCCGCGGTGCTTACTTCGTGGCCTCAAGACGTGTCCTCTGAGAACGCCGAGCCTACCCGGGCCACAGGTCAGCCACAACACAGGTCCACTGGGGGCACCGTCGTGGAGGCCGTCAACCACACGTCCAGCAGGTCTGCTGGCAGGTACTGAGCCACCAAGGCTGGTACGGCCACTCCACGAGCGATAAAAGGGGTACGCCCTAGACAGGAGTCTCGTGTGATATCACCAATCACCCTCCTGTCCTCAATACCCCAGTGGATTATCGTCTCCAACCGTCGGTCCCGGGTAAATCCTTCCACTGCCACTCCACTGGCAGGCTTAACACACCACAGTGTTCTTCCGGGGGGACGACGTCACGACAGCTGCAGCAAACTTCACTGTATGGAGACTGGCTGCCTCGGGTAGACTGACTCCACCTCAACACAGTGGTCCCAGGTCGGCTCTGTAAGCAGACACGTCATCAATAACTGGGACACTAATACACCATACTCACAGGCTCAGGTACTAACACCTGACGTATCCAGTCCATAGATGGCGCTGTCGTCGGAGCACCACCTCACCAGAGGTCAGGAGCGGCGGTGTTGAGCGCTGAACCAGACTGGAAACTGGTCCTCGAGGCCAGTACACGCTGTCCTCACTAGGTGTCGTCGTTCGTTTGGCGGGGGTTTCGGGAGCTGACCCACAGATGGCGTGTTTGTCACTGCTCCAGGCTAGGACGTTGGATCCGGGTTCGTAACAGGGAGTGTTAACAGCCTTACCAGGTGTGTAAATGATATGTTTACAGGAGTGGAATCATATATGTCAATGTTTGCGGATGACGCAAAATTAATGAGAAGAGTTGTGACAGATGAGAATTGTAGGATCCTCCAAGAGGACTTAGACAGGTTGCAGAGATGGTCAGGGAAATAGCTACTGGAGTTAAATACCAGTAAATGTAAAGTTATGGAAATGGGATCAGGTGATAGGCGGCCAAAGAGAAGTACACAATGAAGGGGAACTGCCTACCTGTGACGACGCGAGAAAGAGACCTGGGAATGGACGTAACACCTAATCTAACTCCTGAGGCACATATAAATAGGATAACGACAGCAGCGTACTCTACACTGGCAAAAGTTAGAACATCATTCAGAAACCTAAGTGAGGAGGCTTTTAGGGCGCTTTACACTGCCTACGTGAGGCCAGTCTTAGAGTATGCCGCGCCATCATGGAGTCCCCACCTGAAGAAATACATAAGGAAACTGGAAAAGGTTCAGAAATTTGCGACGAGGCTTGTCCCAGAGTTACGAGGGAAGGG